GGTTTTTCTTCCTCTGCGTTAACAGGGTCCTAATACTCTTGACATTTATGGTAACAAATTTTGGGTGCAGTCATCTTTTGACTGCAAAATTTTCCTCTTATCTGTATGCTCCCTTGCTCCTTCGGCTCCATATAGCATTTCCTCCTTGGTGTTTGAACTACTGGTTGAAGAAAATGCTGTATAAACTAAGAAGAGTCTGAGAGTCACCTCTTGAACCTCCCTTGGCTCCCCTTCTTGGTCCTCCCCTGGAGTTCTTGGGCTCTAAAGGCAGTGGGGAGCACAGTGGCACAGAAGAGTGCACAGGCCAGCCAGTGGGGCCTGATAGACTGTGGCTGGCAAAGGAACACAGCATAACCAGGTTCAGGTGACGGCATCCAGCCAACTGGGTCAGGTTGTCACAGGAAGCTCAGAGGTGACGGGAAGCCTCTGTAGTTGCTTTTGCTTGATGCTTACTGGGATCTGGGCCTTCCATCCTTGCAATAAAGCCCAGCCTAACCTTGACCTCAAGTTGCAAAACAGAGGACAGTTACTTTAGTTGTGTTAATCATCAGTACAAGGAGCCAAAAAAAGGTACACCAAGAGACCAACTCTATTGAGCCTGTTCACCATCCAACATTGTGGGCTTGAGTGAACTAGACAAGGAGTATATTTTTGGAAAAATCTAGGTACTTTTACTTCTTCATTCAAGTGAACAACTACAGAAAAATATAATCAATTGTCAAAGGCTTAATCCAAACATTTTTAGCTTTGAATTTTATGTTGATGCCTTGTAATTTTATTATTTTTTTAAATTAGGGTATCGTTGCTTTACAATGTTGTGTTAGTTTCTGCTGTATATCAAAGTGAACCAGTCACATGTATACATATTATCTGCTCTTTTTGGGATTTCCTTCCCGTTTAGGTCAGCACAGAACATTGAGTAGAGTTCCCTGTGCTATACAATAGGTTCTCATTAGTTATCTATTTTATACATAATGTATATATATCAATCCCAAGCTCCCATTTTTTCCCATCCTTCTTTTCCCCCTTTGCTTTGCAAGTAAGTTCATCTATACCATTTTCCTAGATTCCCACATGTGGGCATTAATATACAACATTTGGTTTTCTCTTTTGAATTTTTGTTGAAGCAAAACTTGACTACCTTTAAGGGGACTAAAGCCTTTGAAATGTTATTAAATGTTTATATGCACATTACTGAGGATGTAATGAGCATCCTTCCACCTTCCACCCCTAGACTTCTAGGCCGGTTCTGTAATTCTCAATCTTTAGACAATATAAGGGTTTGTTAAAGCACAAATTGCTGGATCATGCCCCAGAATTTCTGATTCATTACTTTGAAGTGGGGCCTGTCAATGTGCATTTCTAACAAGTTCCAAATCTGCTGGTCTGAGGACACTTTGAGAACCTCTGTGTTAGGTAACCATTTTTGAAGGTGTGTAGATAACAGAGCTCATCTTTAATTAGTACTGAAAGGTTTGCAGGAGGCATTAGAGGTAGTGCTGTGAGCCTGCAGATGTTGATGATTAGGGCTTTAAGGGTAAGGCCCCCATCTCAGAGTTGAAGGAATTGGGAATGGTGGGAGGGGAAGAGCCTGGAGACATAAGAAGGAAAAGGGAGTGAAGGGCAGACTGAGGAATTCAACCGAGAGGGAAATACCCAACCTGACACCGATCTCACTGCCATGTGAAGTGACTGCTTTATTGAGTTTGATCGCTGAGGTGGTGACAAGAGCTGTACCTAAAACATATGGATAGGGCCCTGAAGGTTTTATTGTATCCCCTTCTGTATTAAATAGCAGAAATGGACAAGTTCTTTGAACTTTCATAATGATACTCATTTTCTTTGACAGTGTGTATTAATCGCCAGATGGGGAGTTCTTTCTTTTGGGCAAATAAGGTCATAAAGATAAGCTGTGACAATGAAATGGCCACATTTCTTTTATTTTATCAATATGGTTGGAGTCTAAGTTGAACACAATAAGATGTACACAGCTTATTCAGAGTTCTAAGATGAGTTTTGATGTCTCAGTTCATATGGAAACATCAAGGCAGAAAAAGATTCAACTTGAAAACCCAATTTTGACAATCCATTTAATTGTCAAGTAATTACTCAATATATTATTTTGATTTTAAAAATTTAAATCTTGCCATCTATAGGTGGGTGATATATGGTCATAAAAATCACTGGAATTCTTCCTTCCACTTGTGGTCATTAGCAAAAGAATGTTCAAGTCTATTATGAAAGCTTACTTAAAAAAGCATTTCAGTGAAATAGCAGTAAAGAGAAATTATGATTCTTCTTTCTATGAAATGTCAAACATTAGGAGAAATAATATTAAAATTCCCAAATACCTCCATGATAGCAATATTCAGGAAATATTTTATGGTAAACATTTTTAATAAACAGCAGCATAAAATAATCAGTGTTTAATATCTCTGGTGTGTGAAATACAAATGCATATATCCTCAATATAAAATAGGCTTCTTGTCATTACAATTTCATGCTTGTCTATTTGAAATGCCCATAATAACAAATCAAACATTAAGTAATACAGTGATTAAATGCATGCAGTGAAAATAAGGAAAGATAGGGCAAGATATCTGAATAGTGCCATTATATATTCGAAAAAAAACTATATCGAGTTAAAAACAAAGGAAACAAGGAAACAGACCAGATATAAAAATGCAGAGATATATTTCATTTCTGTGATATAAACCATAAACATAGTTTTGTGCAAAAAAGGGAAAAGATCTGAAAATAAAGTCATCTTACAAAATGTTGTCCACAAAGCAAAAGATATTTTTCAGTCTATGAAAAAATACTATTTTAATACAAAAGGGACTGTGTTATGCAGTATCACAGTGCTTTATAAAATACATTATTACAAGTGGTTTTGAAATTTAGTTTGTTCACCTTAATGACTTCAGTAATTATAAAATGTTTAAAATAAATGTTATAGTTCTTTATAAAAAACTAACTTGAATTTATTTTTTACCCATAGTAATGTTTTTCCAGAGTAGATATTTTACTGGCTCATGGAATGCTAATTTCCCTTTAAGGGACTCCTAAAAAAACTCAGATTCACTGAAATTGTGTTTCCTTAAAATAATAAATATTCTTGGAAAACAATTGATTGTCATATGATATACAAAATTGTGGTTGAATCTTCATCATTAAACAGTTGCATAGCAACAAAAGGATACAAATATTCGCCTTTACCTAAAGTTAAAAAATTAACTGCTGAATCCGCTTATTTATGCCGTAAAATCGTATTAATTTACTTCCAAATAAATCTGAATATAGCCAATTTTTAATGTTCACAATACCTATAGGTCCATGTTTGTTGTCTGAAGATTCATTGTTTGGGAAAATTGCCACACATTTTTGTAAACATATCTCTTTGCTTTCTCATCTTAACTGAATTTTGTTTTTTCACAAAACTGAAATGTCAATGTGCTTCTAATTATCTTACATTCTCTTTATCAAATATTATTGCCAGGAATTATTTTATATCCTGTAAGTCTCTTTATAAGTCTCTTCAGCTGTAAAATTAAAAAAAAAATGAGACTTTGAGACATTGCTCTTAGAATAAAGGAGTTTTTTTTGGTTTAACAAGAGAAACATCAATCATAATATTCCTTTTTATATAGAACTTGAAACCCATAAGAACTCTAAGTTTGGCAAAAGATGTCGAGCAGGTAAGGCATGAGATGCACATTTGACACCTTCCTCTAACTAAGGCAAAAATGATCATTTTGCTTCTATTTACCAGCTTAAAAAAAAATTCAGTTCACGATAAATGTTTGAAATGAGAACTCAGTACTTGGTTTTCAAAGATATGTAATATTTTGCAGATAGAATTCATAGTCTTTGGATTCCAACTAACTCTATGGATAAACTGTCATATAACTCTTGGTGCTGGAATAAAATCTGTGAACATTTCCAGATAACAAAATAAAGTGTGAGAAACTTTAAATTAACTAGATATTGATAACAGAGTTTCCCCCTTCCCCAGAGTCCACTGATGGTGTGTACTCCCATACCTTGGGCAACTCATATGCAGGAGGAGGCAAGCACAGATGAGCTGATCTGTAGCCACACCGCTATTCTCCAACATTACTGGTCCAGGGACGCTTCTGTGAGGCTGTCCCCATGGGAACCCTGTTCCCTTCCCACTGATGCTGATCTAGGCCAAGAGGCTGCTTTTCTGACTCTGCTGCCTTTGATGCCTCATTTCTAATGCAACACAGAGAACTATCAACCCACAATCAACTTCAGCATCCATATCTAGCCTTCTTATGATCTGATGCCCTAGTTATTTCAAGGGCTTGTGTAAACTGTGGAAAAGGCCTTCATGATCAACATAGGAGATTCAGAGAGAAGTGTACTCTGCACCTTCTCCAAGAAGCCCCACTGTATAGAAGGCTTCAGAATCTTACACTTGTCTTAGAAACTTACACTTGTTTTATGGCTCGTTTCCATTTGGGATTTTAAATTTGGCCTAAAGTTTCCTCATTGATTCTGAACATCACTTCCATACAAACATGCATAGAATCTAAACTGAATCAACGTAATTCCTGAACATCTGTCCTGAAGAAAAGACAGCAGGTAGACAAATGCTATGGTATATACATTTTGGAGAGAGAACAGTCATGGTGACCAAAGGTGAATACATAAAGCACCATTTGACTTTCCTTTTTGGTTTGATACTTAATCATAAGGTCCTTTTCCTCTTCACTGGTTTACAGTGCTCAGTACTTGAAACCAGATGTCCCAATCCCAGTGTCAGGGCATACACCCTGATGGAGTGTTGATCCCACAACGTTTCTTTTCTGGCTGGTGTCTGCCCTGGTTGGTAAGACACAGTTAAACTTCACAGAAGATACTCGTTGCAGTGTCTGCTAAATGAGAACCTTACTTTAATAAAAATATTTGAATATAAATCTTTTCTACGACTTTCTAGTTTCTCCTGTATACCACATTTACAAAAGTCGTGCATTTTACAGTTCTGCAGAAATCATAGATTCGGTGTGTCCATGAATGTTGGAGTCTCCTAGCAAAGACGGTTGCTTTGAGTCTATTTTGTAGGGTTTTTGGGATTTGTTGCCAAAAACGGTGATACCCATCCCACTGGGATGATTTGGAATCGACATGTGTGGTAGTAAGGGAATATTTGCTTCCTGATTGGATCCTGATGAAGGCAAGCTGGTCACATGACCAGTACTAGTCGACCCACTAGCACTGCTGGGGGACCGACTCTTGGGAGGTGGGCAGTGCTGAATCACTCTGGGAGGACCTGTTGGCTGATAGTGGGCAGCTGGAAATGCAGCATATCCAGGAGGTATTGGGTATCCATTGATGGGGATGAATCGCTGGTTCTGAGGTATTGGTGGGCTGATGAAACCAGCAATCTGGCCCTGTGGTGTAATACCCTGGCTCGGGAACATATAATTGGGATATCTGGGATTACTGAGATTACTCACTGGGCTGGCACTAAGGGAGGTTGTCTGAGTGGTGGCATTTCCGCCGGAAGGAGTAGTAGAGCTGGTATGACTTGAGAGTCCCTCCCAGGACCGAAGTCGGACATGAATATCTTTAAATCTTGGTCTCCTGGAAGGAATCTCATTCCAACACTCTGTCATGAGGCTGTACATCCTGGGTGGGCAGTCTTCAGAGCATGGCAACAGCTGTCGTTTTCTCACCATTTCGATCACTTCCTGATTACTAAATCCATAATATGGCTGGAGTCCAAAACTGAAAATCTCCCATAAGACAACTCCAAAAGACCAGATATCTGAATCAGAAGAGAATTTGCCATACATGATGGCTTCAGGGGGCATCCAGCGAATGGGCAGCAAAGACTTACTCTGCACCCTGTAGTAATCAGCAGAATATATTTCTCTGGAAAGCCCAAGGTCTGAAATCTTCACATGAAGTTGCTCTCCAATTAAAATATTGCGAGCTGCAAGATCCTTATGAACAAAGAAGTGACTAGACAGGTATTCCATGCCAGCTGCAATCTGAATTGCAATATGTAGAAAATCTCCGTGATCCAGGCTGGATTTTACAGTCCCATCTTCATCACTGCTGCAGCCAACATCTGAATGTGGGGACCGCATGATAAGGAACTCATGGAGATCTCCCTGATTCATATACTCAAAAAGCATACACACAGGCTGTTCTTGAGTGACAGCTCCCAGAAGGCAGACAATGTTGGGGTGGTGTAGTTCAGCCATCAGGGAGGCTTCCTGTTGAAATTCTGTCCATTGCTGGGGGTTGTTATAGTCCTTCAAGGTCTTTATAGCAACTAACTGAGCATGGTCCATGCCTGGGAGATAGAGATGGCCCTTATAGATCTTTCCAAAGGCACATTCACCCAACTCTTCCATAAAACGTACAGCAGAAAGAGGCAGCTCTTTAGCCTTGCTCTGTATGGAAAAGAAAAAAAAAATGTTGTTTAAAACATTTCCTAAGGCAAGATATCCTGGCATCTGAAAGCAGGGATAGGGTATGTCGAGAAAGGTTCTATATGTCAAATTAAATACAATGTTGTACATCTAGAAATCTTTAAAATTGTTGGCTGCAACTTAGCCATAAGCAAATTTCTGTCCATCACTCACCTATCCCTCCATCCACACCCCCTGCTCCTACAATGCTTTACTGCTATTGCCTAGAATCTTTCTACTCAAAGTGTGGTCTTGGGAAGAGCAATATCAGCACCACTTGAAGCTCATGATAAATGCAGACTCTTGGGCCCACCTTAGACCTACAGAATCAGGATGTGCATTTGACAAGACCCCAGGTGATTTCGGTGAACATTGGAGTGTGAGCAGCAGTGCTGCAGAGGTTACAGCCTTCATCTGTGATTTGCTCTTACCCTTGCTACCCCTCTACATGATGGCATCATTTAGCTGAATAGGTTTCCTTATCATCCACATGCAAACACCATGCATGTTCTTGCCGTACACGTTTGTTCTTCCAATGCTATCCTATTTTTAAGGTGTATATTGAGCTAAAAGCCAGAAAAACCAAAATAAAAGACTGTTCTGAGGTGCCCTTAGTAGAGATGGGAGGGTTTGGAGGTGGCTCCTCTCTACTTTTCGAATCCTTGCTCTGAAACTCTTCCTGACCACTCTGGTCTTTGCCTCTTCTAGAATCCTCTAGCTTTACAGTCTGAATGTCACTACGTGCAGGACACAGTGAGGTAAATGGTCACTTGCATGACCTCTGCAGACTGATAGTTGAAGTTGAAATTCTGCCCTCTCTACTCACCAGTTGTGTGACCCTGGGTACAGTATTGAACCACTCCGTGCCTCAATTCTCTCATCTATAAAATGGGATGATAATCATTGTACTTATCTTGTAGGGTTTTTGCAAATTTGCATGATGTCTGGCACATGGTAAGGTCTATTTAACTTTTAAATTGCTAAAAGTTATCTCACTGTTGCTGTTCTTTTTATGAAAGAACAACCACATTTGTCCATTTTATATTTTGTCCTTTCAATTAGAATTCAGTTTTTTGAAGGGAGCCATTGCCTTCAAACCAACTGATTATCTCTACAGCTTTGCAAGTGAATTATTTACTGCTGCTGCTGCGTAGTCGCTTCAGTCGTGTCAGTCTCTGTGCGACCCCATAGATGGCAGCCCACCAGGCTCCCCCGTCCCTGGGATTCTCCAGGCAAGAGTGGGTTGCCATTTCCTTCTCCAGTGCATGAAAGTGAAAAGGGAAAGTGAAGTCACTCAGTCGTGTCTGACTCTTCGCGACCCCATGGACTGCAGCCCACCAGGCTCCTCTGTCCATGGGATTTTCCAGGCAAGAGTACTGGAGTGGGTTGCCATTGCCTTCTCCGGAATTATTTGCTGATTGACCTGTCATGTGTTTTTACTATTTTTGAAACTCACCTTTAATCTATCCTGAAGTTTAACCTAATTTGTTAGTGAAAAAGTCATAAAAGCAATGCATTTGTACATAAACTGGTTTTTAAAATAATCCCTTTAAATGGAATTTAAATCCTTATTTTTTAGAAAAAGTACTGCTGTGAGTACCCCAATTGAAGTTGGCAATTTTGCAAATATATGTGGAATTCAGAGTTCTGTGCACACAGTTTAATAGTTTGGAAAATTAAGTAAAAATTTTCTCCAATTCAAACTCTGCTAATCTAGAATTCATGATAATTAGCTCTGTTCTAGGCTGCTATTTTCCAGGGCAAAATGCCCATTAACCTAATGATAAGTGTAAATAAACTTTCAGCAAGATACCCACTTAAGTGAACAAAACAGAACTGAGCGTTTCCCTCAGAACTTTTCCTAATGATTTAAATGAATCCAATTTATGTGAAAGTCCCTTGAATGTCACGGAAGGTGTTACTTTTGACCTAAACAGGATCCCCATGCTTTTGGTATTAGAGAAAGGTAGGGGTTGAGTACTAAAGTACTTCTGAGGGAAACTGGGATGAGGAACTAAATTCAAGGAATATAGACTGATCTAAGCTTCCCAGGTGGTGCTAGTAGTAAAAACCCGCCTGCCAATGCAGGAGACATAGATGCAGGTTCGATCCTCGGGCTGGGAAGATCCCCTGAAGGAGGGCAGAGCAACCCACTCCAGTATTCTTGCCTGGAGAATCTCCATGGACAGAAGAGCCTGGCAGGCCACAGTCCATGAGGTTGCAAAGAGTCGGACATGACTGAGCAACTAAGCATAGCACAGCCCAGCCTTAAATAGCTCTAGATAGCCACCTATGTTTTTTTAAAAAAAGAATGTTTAAGTTTCTTGTTAATCTTTCTCTGTTCTGTAGTTTTTAATTTTTAAATAAATTCTTTAAAAATTACAGAGAGTCTGTCTTGGAGCTTGCGGGTGGATAAGAATTTGAGTATCCTGTGGCTTGTTCCTCTGAGGATTCTGGAAGATGCTGATGGAGGAGGAGGGAGCAAAAAAACCCATGGGGAAGAGTAGATGGTGGCAGATGGGAAAGGAAGCAAGCAGGCCAAACTTGTGTGGATGGGAAGAGAAGAGGAGGTGGACAGGACTTTGGCGCCTGCCTGACACATGGCCCCTGGGGCTTCATGGCTAAGAAGGCCGGCTGCATTCCCCTACACTGAGGTAAGCAAATTAGTTCTCTGGTATTCATCTATGGAAGAAGAACTCTTATTCTTGCCATTTTATAGACAGAGAAAGAGGCTTAGAAAAGTATCAAGAATTTTTAAGAGAGCCAAAACTGCTGTCCTTGTGTGTGTAAGGCCTTCTGTTTGAAACCAGAGAAGCCCGCCGGCCAATAATCCCAGTTGGACACAGCACGTCTCTGTCAGCTCAGCCTGGGGCCTGACACCTTGCAGGGCTGTGAGGTCAGCTTTCGGTGTGTGGTCACTGTGTGGAATGATAATTGCTCTTCTTTCTCCCTGTTCAGACACATGAAAAAAGTACGTTTTGACTCCAAGTGTGCCTTGTCATAGCTTACCGGTACCCAGTGGCCCAGAGGCATATAGTCCCAGCCCTTCTCCAGCCGATAGAAGGAAGGAATAGTTCACACGAGACGGTCATAACCAAATTTGGGGATTTGCTTTGGAAGGAAGCATGCAAAGTAACTAAAATGACCAATTTCACAAAACCTTTTCTTGGAACACCTGTGCAGCAGCCAGCATAGAAATACCCAGGGGAAAAAAAAAAATCAAAACCAAAAAACTGCTCAGAGCTTGGTTTCAGGGGAACAATTTACACAGTGATTTGCATTTTTTAAATGCTCAAGTTATTTGGTACAAATGAGTTTTAACTATAGACTCATTTTCAAATTTTACATAAATCCTGAACTAGTTAAAAAATCATAAAAATCCTTAAAGAAGCAGTCAGTAGACTGTATGGTGACGGCAGGAAATTAGCTGTATTGTTGAGGAACAGATGGTTTACATTATACAAACCCTTTAGGCTAAACTTGTTTAGGTCTGGCATATTGTAAATTATATTTTAGTAATGAAAGTGAAATGACCTCTGCTTGACCTCAAGTGGGGTTTGTCTGTTTGAACCAATGTAGTGGAAAACTATGAAAGAAAATGAAGTCATAAAGTTTTGGCAGTTCAATTTTGGCTCATTTCAAGTTAAAGGGTTATAAATCTGTTTAGTTTTTGTTTGACAAGTATTTGTCATACAGGGATGTACAAAATGTAAAGAAGTGTAAAATACACATGAGGCACGATGCCAAAGTAAACCAAGTACAAAGGAAAGCTGGAATGAATAGGGTCCTGGGCTCCTATCTCTTTATCACTCCCTCCATTAGTTGAATGACAAGATGGGCTCCGTTTATTATATGCTGTAAGGCAATTAAGTACCTTAAAACTGAAACAGGCTTTCAGTTTAAATGTTAACATTTTTACTTCTCAAAGTAAACACACATCTGCCTCAGTGTGGTTTAAAAAATTATATAATTTTGGCGGGGGAGAAAAATCAGAGTTGATGTGGAAGTTGATACATTATTCTAAAATCTGATTGTATTTCTTCCCCTTGAAATTTCTGAAGAGCAACTGTCTTCAGGCTTCAGTGAGCTCTGACCAGAAAGAAAATGAAGAGAGAACATTTTTAGATGGTGAGTTGTTAGGTGTGAGTCCATATGAGTATGTAGTCCTGTCTAAACAACTGCTACAGAGGCCAGGCTTCTTTCACCTGAGTGATGAATACTAAGTGAGGACATGTGCCCCTTTTACATCCATTAAACTGAGGTATGAAAGCAATGAACCATGGGTAGAGTTTTTAAAAAAATTGCAATTATGTAGATGGAAGATGGATAAGAGCATCAGATTCAGCGACTTTATCTCCCTCCACCTTTGGGAAGTTACACCTTAGGTGATAATATACCTCTGGGTGACACAGCTTGCGACTAACCTGCCATTTCCTGCTCACTTTTCCTAAATGATTTCCACAGGAAATGAGGTGAGGATTTTGTGATGGCCGTCAACGCTGGCGTGCAGCACAGATCCCGCGCTGTGACTTTTCACCTCTAACCTGAACGGGGCATGATTGATGGCTTTACTTTGCATCCAGAGTGACCCAGACACGCAGATAGAAAGCAGAGCCACAGGAAGGCGGTGTGAACCAGAACCCAGGGTGGGGCTCCGGGACAGGGTGGTTCCAGTAGCAGGTGCTGGGAAAGGACTGACGTTCATGTTCTTGCAATGGGCAAACTTCCTCCTGTAGTCCTTGAATCCCCTATCCTGGCTCCTTTCCCAATCCTCTTGCCCCACCACTGCCGCCCTTTCACAAGTATCTTTCACTGTACACAGGTGCCGATTCTAGCTGGATGCAAGTACCTGCAGGAGAGGGGTAGGTCCCACAAGTGGCATTTGTCCCCAGCTCTATTAGAGGAATAATGAAGCAGATCGTGGCCCTATTGAAACTACAGGGGGAAGGGGGTGGTATTTGGGATAATGGGAGGATACGACC